TATCCCAAAATTTGATGAGAAAACTCGTAACTAATAAGTTTCAGTTATTTAACTGCTTTAAAAAAATGTAACTTATATTAAAAAAAATCCAAAATATGAATGTATGAGTCAGTTTATTTCATTGAATTATCAGAAATGCTAATAAATATAAATAATGCGTAATTATAATATTTCAATATTTAATTAAGTACTCCTATTAAATTTTGCGATTTTCAATTTTTGAAATTGTAACTTTTCAATTTAGAATTCTACCTAAAAATGCTACATCTTAAAGATTCCAGACAGTATTATGTCATAGGAATATTAGAGACTGTAGACATATTTGTGGTCACAGAAATCCTTAAAATTTTATCAATTCTAAAATTCCTGTAAATTTTCTATATTTTTGAGAATCTACGATTCCTAAAACCGCAAAAGTTTCAGAGACAATGGGTAAAATAACATCCTATATATTATATTATTTCACGAATTTTAAAAATTAATTAAAAAACAAGATTTAAAATGTATTTTAAAAGCTCTAAATCTGCTCCAGATGCCAGAAAGCGAAAAGCTTTTTGAGATTCCTGAAATTCTGCAAACAACTGATATCCAGAGATCCTTGAAAACCTTGAAATTCTAAGGATTATAGAAATTTCAAGCTTTCCAAGTATTTAGAAGTTCCACGAATATTAAATAATGTAGAAGATTCCAGAAATTCTTGAGATTATTGAACACTAGGGACGCTAATCTTTGATCAACTAGAAACTGTAGAGATTGTGAAGACTTCAAGTCTAGATATTCTGGAAATTCTTATACCGTATTAGAGATAATAAAGATCTTGCTATCAGACACATTTTTTAGATTTTAAAGATCCTAAAATTTCTACATTAGAAATCCTTACAGGTCCCAGAAGTACCAGATACATATAATTCTTAGAGACTGTGGCGGCACAATAACACGCGGGTAAAGCAGAGTAAAGATAAGTTGTCTTGTGGTGTAGCGGTTAGCATACCAGCCCGGATTGCTTGGAGACGTGGGTTCGAATCCCACCGAGGCATAACATTTTTCTCTGCTTTCCTACATTGGTGACCTCCGACAGGCAACGCGCACTCAACATCCTTCTGCCACCGCCCTGTGCCCGCTGTGTTCGGGGTCCGCAGCACCGCCAGGGTTCGAACAACGACCGTAAGAGTGGTAGGGGCGACGCCAGCATTTATCTCCTTCGCACCCCAGCACGACCGCGCGCTGTGTCGCTGGGGGGGGAGTACTGTGGCGGCACAATAACACGCGGGTAAAGCAGAGTAAAGATAAGTTGTCTTGTGGTGTAGCGGTTAGCATACCAGCCCGGATTGCTTGGAGACGTGGGTTCGAATCCCACCGAGGCATAACATTTTTCTCTGCTTTCCTACAAGACTGTGCCACTAGAACCTAGAAATTCAACCAAAATGTAAGTGTTGTCAGTGATACCACCGACTAATATATTTTAAATGATGTCTAGATTGCAGAAAGGCCAAAATTTCTTGAGATTCCTAGGATTTCTAAGATAACTGAAATTCAGAGATCTGTAGGGTAACCGAAGAAAAATTTTGCATCTCCGGTGGGAATCGAACCACACGTTTACCGCTTGCCACTAGATTACGAAGGAGCTTATCTTCTACCACTACTTATTATTGTGTCACCACAGATCCTTGAGAAAGACCTTTGACATTCTAAGAACTATGGAGATTCCAAAACTTTCAACAAATATTTAAACGTTACGTGGGTTTTAAAAATTAATAAAAAACTAGCAACTCAACAGAAATTTTAGAGATTCCAAAAATATTTGAGATACTTGAAACCTAAGGATTCCTAAAAACATATATTAAAGATTTTATAGATCATGAAAATTTTAGAGATTCTTGAGAAATCGTAGAGATTATAAACATATTTGCGGTCATACTTCATACAAATCCTTAAGAATTTAGAGATCCTAAAATTCCTACAAATATTCGACATTTTAAAGAATTACGAATCATAAAATTTCAAAAGTTTTAGAGATGCTTCATACCGTCGCCTGTGTTGACAGTTGCATTATATCAAGAATTTTATTTATTTTTTAATAAATAAAGAATGCAAACCTTCCAAATTTTCCCCAAGAGTGATACTTTTATCCACGCAGAAAACCTCTGCTTCTGCATTGGAAAGTCGTGGTAGGTAAAATTTGGAACACTGTTTGAACAGGATGGTATAAAACAATGCATTTTTAATCGTGTTTTATTAGTTCAAAATTACGAAAATTACATATACAAACAAGTGCGTCAAATTCAAATTTGAACTGTCATTCAAGGATAACTAGCGCCCTCAGAACGAAAATGGCGTCGAAAGTAACTACTGGATTATCTGTCAAAGGTGGCTATTCGGCAGGCTTTATCAACGCAACTGTCAACGCAGGCAACGCTTCATCCCTTTAGATCCTAAATAACCCTAGATTTATAATTATATATACAAATTTTTTCAAAAATGAAATACAAGGGACACTAGGAGACTAAATTTTTTCCAAACTCTGTCAAAAACAAAATAATAGGAATCCTGTGGATTTATCATTTTTTTTCAAAAATAAAGGGGAGTCCAAAGACTTCCAAATTAAAAAAAGGACACTGGGAGCCCTACAGAGTCTTTCATATTTTTTAAAAACGACACTAGGGGCACTTGAGATTCTTTCAGATTTTTGCCGAAACAAAACCATAGAATCTTCGAGATCTTTGCAAATTCTTTTCAAAACAAATTACAACGAATTTCGAAGATTTTACCACATTAAATGAAAAACATGAAGAGCTCCCAAGGTTTTTTCCAAAATAAAACATTACGGGTCTGTAAAATTTTTGCAATTTTTGAAAAAAAAAAGAAACATAAGGGACCCTCAAGAGTTACATTAAAAAAACGATACTAAGAGACTCTAAAATTTTTCCAAACTCTGTCAAAAACAAAATACATCTTTTCAAGTTCTTTTCAAAACAAAACACAAAACTTCCGAAGATTTTTCCGTATTAAAAGGAAAACATGAAGGGCTCTCAATGTTCTTTCCAAATCCTTCAAGAATAAAGAGTTACGGATCTTCAAAATTTGTTTTTCAAAAATAAAACACATGGAACCTCCAAGAATCGTTTACATGAAAAAAAAGACACTAGAGGATTCTAAAATTTTTGAAAACTCATTCAAAAACAAAATATTAGGGATTTATTAAATTTTTTTCAAAAATCAAACGGGGGTCCAAAGAGTTTCTAAGTAAAAAAACAAGGATACTCGGAGCACTAATATTCTTTCATACTCTTAAAAAAAAAGACACTAGGGGCCCCTGGAATTCTTTCAGACTTTTGCAGAAACAAAACAACAGAATTTTCGAGATCTTTTAAATTTTTTTAAAAACAAAGCACAAAACTTTCGAAGATTTTTCCACATTAAAAGGAAGACATGAATGGTCCTCAATGTTTTTTCCAACTCCTTCAAGAACAAAGAATTAGGGGTTTCCAAAATTTATCCAATTCTTAAGAATCTTTTATGTAAAAAAAAAACATTGGGGAACTATAATTTTTCCAAACTTTCTAAAACAAAATATGTACTAGAGGTACTGAAGATTTTTTTTTTCAAAAATCAAACAAAAAGACTTTCAAATTAAAAAAAAAAGGATAATCGGACCTCTAAATATTCTTTCAAACTCTTTAAAAAAAGGTCACCAGGGGTCCCCGAAATTCTTTCAAACTTTGCAGACACAAAACAACAGAATCTTCAATATCTGTTCAATTTCTTTTAAGAACAAAACACATGAACGTCCGAAGATTTTTCCACATTAAAAAGAAGAAATGACCGACCAAATATTCTTTCTAACACCTTCAAGGACAAAAAGTTAGAGGTCTCCAACGTTTGTTCAGTTTTTTTCAAAAATAAAACGCAAGGGATTCCGAAGAATTTTTACGTTAAAAAGCACACTAGGCCACTCAAAAATTTTTGCAAACTTTTTCAAAAACAAAATACTAGGGGTCCTATGGAAATATTATCAAAAATCAAATGGCCTTACAATTTAAAAAAACACTCGGAGCCCTAAAGATTCTTTCTTACTCAAAAAAAGATACTCGGGTCGCCAAGATTCTTTCAATATTTTTCACAAACACAACAGGAACTTCGAAATCTTTTTAAATTATTTTCAAAACAAAACACAAAAACTTCCGAAAATGTTTCCACATTAAATACAAGACACGAATGGCTCTCAATGTTTCTTCAAACTCATCCAAAAGCAAAGAATTGGGGGTCTCTCAAATTTATTCATTTTTTTTTTAATAAAACACATTTGAGATCGGGGCGGGTGGGTGGGGCTTAATCTTTGTGTTTTTTTAATGTATAGAGTTTTCTTTCAACAACAGGATAATTAAACATGTTTTCAGTTTCTTGTTGGGAAAACAAGACTCGCAATTTAAGAAAAAATGGACAAAATATAAGCCCCGCCCACCCGCCCCTTCTCAATTGTAATGAATGTTTTTTTCATTGTGAGCTGAAGGGCGGAGTTTGGTTGCAAAATCCTCATTTCTCTACAAGAAATTACTATATAAAATTCATCACAGTTGAGATTAGGGCGGGTGGGTGGGGCTTAATTTTTGTTTTTTTAACGTATAGAGTTTTCTTTCAACAACAGGATTGTTAAACATGTTTTCAGTTTCTTGTTGGGCAAAGAAGGCTTTGTATATTAAGAAAAAATGGACAAAAGATAAATGTATTTTTACAAGTGGAATATTTGATAATTTATTAAGTATTCAGCATTTCAGCATTTCAAGTTGCCATAAGTATATGCAACCAACTTAACATATATTTTCAGTTTTAATACTTTAAGAAAAATCTCAAATGATCCAATAAACATATAACAATATTTTTTTTGCAGTAATTTTGAGTATTTTGTCGTCTGAAGTAAAAAATACATAAAACTGGATTTTTTTTTTCATAATTTGGGGAAAACAAAAATTGGAGCTTTTTTCAACTGTCAACAGTGTCAATGTCAACAATGTCAATGTCAAATAAAGTTGCCACCACACATTGCACTTACTGAAGCTTACAGTAAAACTACTTTGGTTTTTAGTTGAAAGAAAAAGAATTTTACGATGTCGACTGAAACAGAGAAGAAAATATTCACAGCTATAGAATCAGGCGATGACGCTTTACTGCGGGCAGCCCTTGATGACCACCCAAATGTGAACATCATCGATGAAAATTTGATGACACCCTTGCAACATGCTGCTTACAAGGGAAACAAAGACATGGTCCAAATACTTCTGGATTACGTTAGTAATTGTAGTAATCTTGCAAAACCAATAAACTTGAGTTCATTTCAGGGAGCAGATCCAAACTTGTGCAAGCATCAACACAACTACACAGCTCTCCATTTTGCTGGTTTATCAGGAAATTTTGAAGTATGTTTAGCATTGTTAGTAGCCGGAGCGCGACCAGACGTGACAAACGCAGTCAATAGAACCGCCTCTCAAATGGCTGCTTTCGTAGGTCATCACAAATGCGTTGCCATCATCAATAATTATGTACAAAAATCAAACGTGGACTACTACACTGTGGCACATGGGTTGCATACCAAACCCTATTTGCCACCTTATCTGGCAGAAAGTTTTCATAAATTGATAATACAAGTCAATATGCATCCTGTGAAGGTGGCCCTCAACATGCATAGCTTTATAGGTATTTTTGAACATTTGTCTGAAGTTAAGACAGTACTGGAGCTAATGTCTGAGAAGGAGATGAAAAATGAAGGAAGCAATGAAGTGATGGCATTTAAGTTCTTTTATTTATCTTATGTAGCAGGGGAACTGGTCAACATACAAGCGAAACAAAATGCTAAAAAACAAGAGGATAAAAAGAATGAAACTCTTCAAGTGTTTTGCAAAAATATTTTAAAACCAGGGAAGGATGGATCATTGCAGTTTATGGACGCCTTTTTAAGAGAATGTGTGAAGAAGTTTCCATTCAGAGAGTGCACGTTGTTGAGGCAAATAGTTTCAACTTTGACAGGAAAAGATCCTCCAACGGCATTAAGTATTGTTACTTTTGCTATAAATGGCCAGAGAGGTTTTGTTGATGATGCAGTAGATTGTTATACGTGTGGAGAGGAAAAACCAACCAAGAAATGTTCAAAATGTAAAGTTGCACAGTATTGTGATAAAAATTGCCAAAAGTTGCATTGGCACTGGCACAAGAAAGTTTGTGCTAGTTTAGTACAAGATTCTAGTAGTTCTAAGGATAAAAAGGAGGTTGCAGTGGATTCTTCAGAATTGTCATCTGAAATTCAAAATTTGTTAATTTCCAATTAGAGAGGAACAAAGGTATTTTATAATTGATTTATAATTATCACACGTTTGTTTATCAAAAAAGAACAATGTATTGACAATAGGTTAAAATGATAAAAGGTCTTAATTTGTAGTGAATTTATCAGAATGTGGCTTCTGATCAGATTGTGAATGATTGAAATAAGATTAAATTTTGTGTTCTGGATGTCGTCATGAATGAAATATTTCTTGTAAAATATGTAAACAGTTGAATTCTTGATGTACTGTAATCTTATATCAAGTGACAAAGAAAAACAAAATAAATGCCAAGTAAAAATGTAATTTGTTATTACTTCCCATTACATATAAAAAACATTAACGCTTATTTACATATATATTTTTTAAATATAAAGTTTATGAATGTTTCAATGTATAATTTTAATTTATGTTTGCAATATATTTACTAGTATCCAGTGTTTTTCAAGTTTATTTTCATTTGAAATCTTATTACCAACAAATAAAGCACTAGCCAGGACGCTGACATAAATAAACTTGCGAGCATTAAAATCGGGACACTATTCAAATATAGCGTATAGCGTGTTTGGACTGGCCAGCACGTAGCCCGGATATGAGTCCTATAGAACATATGTGGGATGAACTTAAGCGAAGAATTAGAGATAGGATCCCGGCTCCTGGGTCACTCCATGAGCTCAAAATAACCATTGAAGAACAATGGGCTAATACCCCGCAAGAAGTTGTCGTCACCTTAATTGAGTCCATGAATAAACGAATGCACGCGGTTATTAGAGCTAGGGTTGGCAACACCGAATATTAACATTATTTTCTTCTTTAAATTATTGATTTTGTTAACATAAAACATTCGTTATTGAACAATTTTCTTTTTTGCGCAAAACAATTTCATGAAGTTTTTTTAACTCTGTTTTAAAGACAAATATGTGGTGTTTCTAATGGCTTTTTTAGTTTCTTTAAGTGTAATATAGTTCGGCGGAAAATTTGATTCAAAGTCAGATGTGTATAGTGGTCCGATTTCAATGCTCGGCAGTGTATTACATAAAAAAACGAAACTGGTCTAAAGTTATTTAGACAGAACTTTCCTCATGTTTGCAGCACACTCAATTAAATACGTGCAGTTTCGTAAATAATGTAGTGTAAGTTTGAATTAAAAGTTCGCACTAAAAAAAAAAAAATGGCGCGAAATCGCGTTTGAGTAATTTGAATTTAAAAAAAATTCAAATTAAGAAAATCGTTAGAGGCATATGCAGCACGAAAGAGGCCAGGGGCGGGGCTTATGATGCGCGGCTTCTAGACCCCAGTGGCGTAGCGTCTGTGGTATAAGAAAGTTAGGTAGTCGCATTAAATATTATTTTACTTTCAAAAAATAATTGTGAATTTCAAAGTTTAAAGAAAGGAAATGAATTGTGGTGACCGAATTTAAATCACAATTTTCGCGCTGAAATTAATTAACAGCGGCGCGAATTCACATTTGAATTTGAGAAAAAAAAATCATCAAAACCAGGTGCACGGTAACGCTTGCTGGATAGTTGGACAATTAGTAGCGCTAGGGATTTTAGTGAGAGGGTTGGTGGTTAGACAGAGGGCGGCATGGCGGAGCGTCAGTCTGAATGTGTTTTTGTGGATGTAAACACGTGGTAAGAGCTAGTTTAAATTAGTTAGTTTGGTAGTTAATAAAAGGGAGGAAGCCTTTGTTTAACGACAATCAATCGTATCTTCTATGACGACACAGATTTCCCCAATCCGCGCGGCTAATTCTTGCGGCTTTTAATAAAAAAACATGCGATCTTTCAACGCGGAACACGTGCTGTAAATTTGTTTTATTGTTTGTAAATTCACCAATCAAGTTAGTTTTTCTTAATCGTCAGCTAGTGCTAACACAATTTAACAATCAGAATTATTTAAATAAACCACTTGCTAGAAAACTTTTATTTGGTTAGGAAAACACCTTTGTTGTTTAATTACGAATAGGTTTCTGGATGCATATACGTAAGTGTTACATTATAACACTTCTTAATTATTCACGCAAGATTGCTAATAGTTCATTTACGGCAGTTAAATTAACAAAATTCATACTTCGAACTGGCGGGGGGATTCAAATAATTTCTTCCCTTAGGCGGTTATCATGGTTATTATCATCGTTATATTGATTACATTATCGAGGCTTGTCCTCGTAACGCTAAAGATTGATTACATGATCGAGGCTTGTCCTCGCAACGCTAAAGATTGATTACATCAGCGATGGTTGTCCTCACAACGCTACAGATTGATTATATCATCGAGGCTTGTCCTCACAACGCTAAAGATTGATTAATTCATCGAGGTATTCCCTCGCAACAGTAAGATTACATCACCGAGACGCTTTTTCCTCGCAACGATGATTGGATATTTTTGTGTTTATTTATTATGTCTTTTGTTGGGGTAACCAGTTCGCGGTATTCTAAACTCTCAAAGTAAATTGTTTTTTTGAGGTAACCAATCACTTAGATCATGACATAATTTAACGTAATGTAAACTTTTTGTTTGAATCGTTGGTAAAGTGTGGCAAATATTAATCTCATGTAAATTTTGTTAACTTTGCAATTTTTCACCTCATACAATATTTCTCAATCTCATTGTTAACCTCAGTAAATTTTCTTTGTTGTATAATTTTAATGAACGTAAATTTCCATGCTTTGCAGTTTTAACCTCACATAATTTTAATTTGCAAGTTTATTTCACACCAGACCTTTTGTTTCATAAATCTTTGCTAAGTTTTATTTTGTAAATATTTTGCTGATGCATGTTTCCATCGTATAAATTATTTGATGTCCAATTTTAATCTCACATAAGAATTATTTGTTGTTTAAAATTTCACAAGATTGTATGCCGAATTTAAATGTTGTTTATTGCTACTTTGAAACTTTAACACCTGTTCAGTTGTTGTTAATATCAGAGTTATAAGAGATTGAACATGTCAAATGGAATTGAGGTTAAATAACACAGAAAACATGACAAGGCCGGAGTGCGGTTCCTAGTCGAGCTGGCGAGATTTCATCGCGTCACCTGCACAAGTCCGCAGGTATGGATAGATTCAGGGGCGGTCGCCGATGCTGTAACGTTCTCGGCTTCGTGCTAGCCTAGATCCAACTACAGGTCTGGCGACCGTAACGGCCTAGTTTCGGACGGCATCTTCGTCCTGGGGATAGGTAGGCTTGCGATAGATAGAATCACCGTCGTGGGGGGAGAACAGCCCCGACCGGTAGCCCCAAACTCCGCTTATGGTAGAACGCCTCAGGGGTATTTTTGTGCTCTTGTTAACTGTCGAAATTTTAAATCTGCCGCCATACGCCCGTAATAACTTGTTTATTTGTATCCAGTTACTTTAATTCAGATTTTTCTTTGTTTTTATTAAATTTGTGATATTCAAATATTTGTATTAATTCAGAACGTTTTATTTGATTTTCATTCAAAGTTAGGCAAGTTTTTTTGTAGCTGAGCATTAAGAGGTGTCACAACCGGCACAAATTACTGGCAGCTTTTTTTTTCTTTTTTTGTCAGTGGGGGAATAAATGATTTTGTGTCCTCCATATATTTTGCGTTTTATTTAGCGGTACTTTTCCAACCTTGGTGTCCACCACTTGCATCTGAACGCAATCCGCCACAAAAAAAAACAAACACAATGTAGGGTTCCATTTTGTTAGGCAATCACAGCTAAGGCCAAATTTTTGAATTGTCATTTTTTTTTCATGTATTGAAGCTATTTTGTTACCTGTTTTTTCATCTAGTTTAAGGTACTGTATAATTTTTACTTCCCGAGCGTAAGCGAACTATTGTAGTCGAGTCCGTCGGCCAATTCTCCACTTTTACGTTTTCTCGACCTTTCATGACCCCGAGAGCACGAAAAAATGTGTCTCCCTTTTCCGGCTGTCTATCTGGTTATCCGTCTGTCTGTCTGTCTATCGGTCTGCCGTCACGGTTTTGTTTAATCAAGCAGCCCAATTTTGAGTTTTTTGTTGCTTTTTATAAAATAAAAATAATAAAGTTTTTGTCGTGAAGTTTTTTTAATGCGTTTTTTAACATTTCGCCCCATTTTTAAGGTTATTTTTTAAAAAGTTGTGGATTTCTAAAGTTTTGACCATGATTCCAGCTGATAGAAACGGCTGACTTTGCAATTTTTACAAAAATATAAAAAAAACCTCGTCAACGTCGAAATTGACCTATAAAAAAATAAAAATACTTTATAATAAACTAGCTGTTACCCGCAGCTCCGCTTGCGTGGATTTCGCAATTAGGGCACATTATTTTTCATCCCCTGATTTATTTTTTGATTTCAATTTTATTACTTTTGAAGTTTGTGCAGTCTTCATTAATAACAATATATAAAAGTGTTTGTCCTCCGCTTGACAAATCAACATAACTACTGGAGCTATAGAAACACGAAATTTGGACAGAAGGTTCCTTTCGTAATGTAAGCATCCATTACCCCTAGGTGTATGAAATAAGGACTGAAAGTTTGGAGTTAGAGTCCCGTGAATTTTTAAATACGACGGAGGGGGGGGGGGGTGAAACAAAGTTATTCTATAACATAGGAGTGGCCATAAGGATTCCCATGTTAAATTTTATACCCCATGTTAACATATGTTTGAGTAAAGATTTAAAATATTTGGATATTTTTGTCGCTAATAGTTGTAGGCAGCTATGTAAAAACAAACATTTACCTGACCTATCTAACTTGGTTGTAAATTTGATATTATTCTGTACTTAATAAAGTTTCGTTGTGCCTATAAAAGTATGTCATAGCTAATCTCTCTGAGATAGTCTCTGTTTTGTATGACTTCTTCACGTCTTACAGGCAAACCATAGTACTCTCAACATTGTCTTCCTAAAGACAGCACCGTGTCTTTAATGGAAATCAGACCCTTGTTGTACACTTCATTTATAATCTGAACACTCTCTTGACAGTCTGACTTAACTTGACAAACCCAAAGCTTTGCATAATGACTGGTATGTGAAATAAACGACACTACCAACAGTTTTTAAATCCGAGAATTATGTTGGCCCTCTCATCGCATGAAGAAGAGGATCAAGGTAGAAACATTCCGCGTTATTAGGGTGAACGGTGTACACTCCGGTCAAAGCTTGATCTCTTTTGACTCCCGGCGAACCATCAACATTGTTTCCACTTTTTCATCTCTCAAATTTGGTACTTTTCCACACATAGTATTAAGGTACTTCAACATAAAGAAAGATTTTTGCAAAAGTATCCACTTTGCAAAGCTCAAAAAATGATAGAGGAGTAGTTTTCTGTGAATTATTTACCTTTTCAG